AGTTCGAGACCAGCCTGACCAACATGGAGAAACCCCGTCTCTACTAAAAATACAAAATTAGCTGGGCGTAGTGGCACATGCCTATAATCCCAACTACTAGGGAGGCTGAGGCAGGAGAATTGCTTGAACCTGGGAGGCGGAGTTTGCGGTAAGCCGAGATCGTGCCATTGCACTCCAGCCTGGGCAACAAGAGTGAAACTCCGCCTCAAAAAAAAAAAAAAAAAAAAACCCAGAAGGAGAAAATATGAGAGAAGTTAACTAAGAAACATAGCTAATGACTGTGGAATCAGACCCCAGAACCCAAATCTCCTTTTGCATGTTTTGGTTCATTTGTTTGACAAATATTTACTCAGTGCCCACTATCTTTTATTTCAATGCCTAAGTCATTCTATCAAATAATCAGCTTCTCTGTGGATATTTTTTTCTTCCTTTATTTTTCATGTGTACATTTTCCTTTAGTGTATTTTATTTATTTATTTATGTTTTTTGGAGATGGGGTTTCATTCTGTCACCCAGGTTGGAGTGTAGTGGTGCAATCTCAGCTCACTGCAATGTCTGCTTCTCAGGCTCAAACGATCCTCCCGTCTCAGCCTCCAGAGTAGCTGGGACCACAGGTGTGCAACACCATGCTCAGCTAACTTTTTATTTTTATTTTTTATTTTTAGTAGAGACAAGGTTTTTACAATGTTGCCCAGGCTAGTCTGGAACTCCTGAGCTCAGAAGGTCCGCCACCCTTGATCTCCCGAAGTGCTGGGATTATGGGGTGAGCCACTACACCCAGCTGGATATTTATTTTTGAGACAGGGTCTGGCTCTGTGTCTCAGGCTGAAGTGCAGTGGAGCCATCTCAGTTCATTGCAACCTCCACCTCTGAGGGCTTAAGCGATCCTCCTGCCTTAGCCTCCCAAGTAGTTGGGACTACAGGAGTGCACCACCATGCCTGGTCAATTTTTACTTTTTAATTTTTAGTAGAGACAAGGTTTCACCATGGTGCTCAGGCTGGTCTCAGACTCCTGGGCTTAAGTGATCCTCCTTCCTCGACTTCCCAAGGTGCAGGGGTTACAGGCGTGAGCCACTGCACCCAGTTGAAACTTTGTTAAGCTCTAGAAACTTTTAGTATGAGTAAAAACAAAATTAGATTAACTTTGATTGAAGGGATAGGGAGGTGGGAATAGCTCTATCAGCCCTAAGGAGGATCCCTGAAACCCCTAACAACACACAGTCAGCACTTATTGAGCACATACTTTATGCTAGGTCATGTGCCAGTGCTTGACATAAATTATTTTCTTCATTGCTGCATCCTTAATTTTGGCAGTGCTTTGTACACAGGAGGTACTGAAGTATGTTGAATATTGAATTACATCCTTGACTCTTTCTAGGGTTCTATACTGGTTTTTTTAGGACTGCCTTAACAATGACACCAAGTCATTAGATTTCAGGACCACCCTAATCTAGTATGATCTCATTTTAACTAATTACATCTGCAAAGGCCCTATTTCCAAATAAAGTCATATTCTGAAGTTTGGGGTAGACATGTATTTTTGGGGAACATTATCCATCCCACTACAGTCTACCCTGTGGCTCCCCCAAAATTCTTGTCTACTCCTCATGCAAAATATATTAATCCCATCCAATGTTCTGTTTTTTGTTTTTTTAAAATGGGAGTCTTGCTCTGTTGTCCAGGCTGGAGTGCAGTGGCACGATCTTGGTTCACTACAACCTCTGCCTCCCAGGTTCAAGCAATTCTCCTGCCTCAGCTTCCCGAGTAGCTGGGATTATAGGCACACGTTACCATACCAGGCTAGTTTTTTATATTTTTGGTAGGGACAGAGTTTCACCATGTTGGCCAGGCTGGTTTCAAACTCCTGACCTCAAGTGATCTGCCCCTCTTGGCCTCCCACAGTGCTGGGATTATAGGCGTGAGCCACGGTGCCTGGCCCCATCCCAACATTCCTAAGGTTTAACCCATTTCAGCATTAGCTCTAAATCTAAATCTCATCTATTACAAATATAAACTCTAAAAGTTCCAAATCTCATCATTTAAATCAGGTATGGGTGAAACTCTAGGTGTGATATATTCTGGGGCAAAATTCCTCTCGCATTGTGGACCTTTGAAACTAGAAATCAAATTATCTGTTTCCAAAATACAGTGGTAGAGCAGACATTGGATGGACATTCTCCTTGCAAAAGGGAGAAAAGGAGGGTTGGACACCGTAGCTCATGCCTATAATCTTAGCCCTTTGGGAGGCTGAGGTGGGAGAATCCCTTGAGGCCAAGAGTTTGAGACCAGCCTGGGCAACATAGTGAGACCCCATCTCTACAAAAAAAAAATTAAAAACATTTTTGAAAGAGAGAGAAAATGGAAAGGAAACAGGGGCTCATTAGCCTAAAGCAAGCTTGCAGAACAGCAGGGGAAGTTCCATTATGTTTCAAGGCCTGAGAAAAATCCCTTGTGGTTCGATGCTCCTTCCTCTGGATCCAAGGCAATGGGCTCCATCCTAAGAGTCATTCTTTCTTTTTCTTGAAGGATAATCCATGTTTGCTGCCAAGAACATGCATCAGCCTATTTTCTGCCTGTGGAATTTCAGAGGTCTAAGACTTGTCCTTCATTTTATCTCTGTCCTTTTCATTTCAGGCTGACGGTGTTTCTGTTGGTATAAAATTCTCAGAAGCCATGTTGGTCTCCTGTGTAACTCACTACTTAGGAATGAGTTACTCCTCCTTGCATTTTACTATAAGCAACAAGGAGAAACCTGGCCAAATCTCCTACATTTTGCCTGGAAATCTCAGCTAAATATACAAGTTCATTGCTTATAAGTTCTACTTGCCTTCCAACAGCAGGACAAAATTCAGCCAAGTTATCTGCCACTCTATAAAAAAGTTTCTCTTTTGTTCAGTTTCTAACAACAGTTCCTCATTTCCATCTTAGACCTTGCCAGAATCACCTTTAACATTCATATTTCTATTTTGTTATGATAATACATGTATTCTCTATGACCATAGAAACTTTCTCTATAGTCTCCTCATTTCTGAAGCCTCACTAGAATTGCCCTTAATATTTGTAATTCTACCAACAGTCTCTTTGGGGCAATATAGGCTTTTTCTGTCATGTGTCTCAAAATTCTTACAGCCTCTTTGCATTACCGTGTTCCAAAGGCACTTGCACATTTTTAAGTATTTGCTACAGCAGCACCCCACTTTCTACTACCAAAATTTGTGTTAGTTTCCTAGGCCTGCCATAACAAATGATCTTATGGAGCAATGTGTGATCTCATGGTTCTGGAGGCTGGAAGTCCAAAATCAAGCTGTCAGCAGGGCCATGCTACCTACTGAAGGTAGACACGAATTTTAGGAAGACACCTTTCAATCCACCACAGGTTCTAAGCAGCAGAGTTTGGAAATCAATGTACTAAACATGGAACCTCCTGAAAGCATGCCTTCATTTTAGCTCCCCAACTTCTAGCCTAGGTCATAGAATGCAACCAATGTTTGCTGGAATTTGTACACCAATGTTGATAGCAGCATTATTTTTTTTATCCTTTCTTTCTCACTCTAATCTCATGACAAATTAGTAGCATTATTCACAATAGCCAAAAGGTGGAAATGATCCAAATGTCCATGGGCAGATGAATAAACAAAATGTAGTATATACATACCATGGAATATTATTTAACCTTAAAAAGAAAGGAAATTCTGACATTGTTGCAACAGAGATGAACCTTGAAAACATTGTGCTAAGTGAAATAAGTCAGATACAAAAAACAAATATTGTATAATTACACTTATATGAGGTACCTAGAATAGTCAAATTCTTAGAGACAAAATTAGAATAGTGGTTACCAGGGGCTGGGGAAGGGAGTACTGGGAAGTTAATGTCTAATGGATACAGAGTTTCTGTATGGATAACAAAATTTCTGTAGATGAATAGTGGTGGTGGTTACACAACAATGTGAATGTGTTTAATACTAGTGACTTGTATACTTAAAATGGTTAAAATAGTAATTTTTATGTTGTATATATCTTACTACAATAAAATAAGTGTTTGCTGAAAGAATAACTGGGCTAATGTTCAGGGAGTTCTCATCCCAGGTACCTAGCCTAGATGTCCTCAACTTTCAGTTTCTTCATAGCCTCACAAAAATAACAACAGAATCCACTAATTGGTTACTTATTATATGCCAGGCACTGTGCTAAGCATTTTGCACGCATTATATTACTTAATATGCATAACAACAACTTTGTAGTAGACATTGGCATCCAACAGCAGATATTGGCATCACCATTTTACACATGAGAAAACTGAGGCTCAGAGAGGATAACTAACAAGGTCACCAGTTCAAGACCAAGTTCTTTATCACTTTCAGTACTTCACAAGCTTATCTCAAACCTGTTTGTCCCATGCTCTGAAGATCTAGACAAAAGATGGCCTCAAATTAGCCAAGACATATATATATATATAAACACACACACACATACCTACGTATAGTGCCTTCTAATATACCTGGAAGTACTTTACTTATATTCATTCCTTTAATCCCACAACAGGCCACAATAGAGTGGGGCACTATTATTTTCTTCATTTTACAGATGAGGAAATGAGCCACAGGGAAGTTAACTAACCTAAGGTCACAAAACTGGGTATGATCCCAAGAAAGGAGATTTAGGGATCTTTTAACCAGCTACTCTTTGTGATTTATTTATTTATTTATTTATTTATTTATTTATTTATTTTTGAGACAAGGTCTTGCTGTTGCCCAGGCTGGAGTGCACTGCAGCTTCAACCTCTTGGGCTCAAGCGATCCTCCCACCTCATCCTCTAGAGTAGCTGGGGCTACCAGGATGGGTCACCATGCCTGGCTATTTTTTTTTTTTTGTACAGATGTGGTCTCACTATGTTGCCTAGGCCGGTCTTGAACTCCTGGCCTCAAGTGATCCTCCTGTCTCAGCTTTCCAAAATGTTGGGATTACAGGTGTGAGCCACTGTGCCTGGCCTTATGATTTCTTACAGGAAGACATCCTCTGTCTATTGCTCCCACAAAGGCAAATAGGCCAACGCTTCTTCTCATCTCATTGGGACATTATTCCTGTTTCCATCCTTCTCATGGTTGAAATGTCTGTGGAATGAATGCATAAACCAGCAAAAGAGAAGCTCCCTGCCCCTTCCAGTTGAAGTTCTCAGTTCAGCCCAGAGGTACTTTGTAATCAGACAAAAGTACTTGGGGTTCTCCAAGCCGACATGCTTTTTCCAGTGCCTTCCTTCGATAATTACAGTTCTTGTGCTCTTAGTTGTGTGTATCCATGAATTATGAGACTTTTTATTGACAGCTTCTATAAGCACAGGCCTATACACAGTAGACATGATAAATGAATAATTTTTCACAAGACCCCAGGGAGCCTTCTTATTTCAGCCTCTTGAATTTTCCTGTATTATCTCAAGTCCTCCTGGGCCTGAAACCTTCTCACTCAGATTTTTCAGCTGGATCCGGCTCCCACCCCGCATCTTTGGGCGAGAAAAGCTCTCCTGCCGGCCTCCTCACTTTTGGCTTGAGGTCGGAACTCAGTTGGGGCTGGGAGACGTCGCTGGGCCTGCCCGCCTCAGCCTCCAGTAGAGGAGAATGGGCAGCTCAGAAAGTCCAAGAGGGCCTTTGAGTGTGTCTGCCGGCATCCGCCAGCAGCCATCGCCTGCATTTTATCCAGAAGCTAGTGTCAGGCTCTGCGAGGTATCCATGTTGATAGTTATTGCACGCGCTCATCTTGGAGCTTCTGAATATTCATGAGGGAAGCAGAAAGACCAATGTTAAAGAGGAGAGAAACAGAAATGCATAAATATTAATAAAGGCAGGCCCACGTGCTCAGAGGAAGGCTATGAATGTTAACTAGGGGATGACGTCCAGCTCCCGCGCGTGCCAGTTGGGTGGGTGCCCGAGCGCGGGCGCGCCCCCGGAGCCCGGGCACGAGCGCAGGGAGGGGGTGGGGTGGAGGCGGGAGCGGAGCCGGGCGCCGCCGGAGCTGCGGGGGGAGCGCTCGCTGGCTAGCTGGCTCTCCGCTGCGCTGCGCTGCGCTCCGGCCGCTCCCGCGGCCCGTGGATGGGGGTGTCCGGCTGAGCCCCGGGATCCGCCTCCCTCCGCCAGGACCCGCACAGGTGCCGTCGCGGGGGTCGACTTTAGTTAGGACCCGACCCACTGCTGGGGGTGGGGTCTGGTGGGGGTGGTAAGGAGGCCCCGGGATTCTCTGACAGGACGGTCTGGGGTCGCCACAGCGCCCCTCACCCCGTCCCATCCTGGGATTGGAAAGGAACAACGGGAGGCCGTCGCTCTCCTGCCCAGCCCTTCAGGGAGCGCAGCTGGGACGCGGCGCCAGGCCCGGGAGATGTGGGATGATGGGCTCCTCCAGTATCATCTCAGCATCGGCCCTCCAGCCAGGCCTGGGGTGTGTGTGTGTGTGTGTGTGTGTGTGTGTGTGTGTGTCCGTCCGCGTGTTTGTGCCCGCGTGTGTGCGCGCATGTGAAGGCAGGCGGCGCGGTATGGGGGCTGGGGAGGAAGGGAACGCCGCCCGATCGCGCTGGGGCAGTGGGTCGGTGCCTGGTCCCGGGACCGTCATCTGGTCCAGTCACCGTAAACGCCCCATCATCTTTGTCCCTAAGAACTTACCCCCGACCCCGCTCGTGCCCCTCCCCAGAGTGCTGAGCCTTCCCCAGTCCGCGCATTCCTGCAGTGTCAGAACCGCTGGCAGCGGCCGCAGACGCCGGGGGAGCGATTGTTTTACTACAGACGGGCGGGAGAAGGCACCGGGGCGGCGGCGCGGTGGCGGGGCGCGCTGCCGTCGGGTGGGCCCCCGGCTCTGGAGCGCGGGGAGCAGTGTTTGACGGCGTCGAGGGGGTATCACAGCCCGCTCCTCTTCCCTTTTGCCTATCCCTTCCCTCCCCGCCGCTAGGCATCCCCGACTCCCACCCCTCTCCCGTGTCCGGGCTTGTTTGACCAGGAGGGCAGTGGAGTGTGTGTGCGGCCTGCGCGGGATGAGTCCGGCTTCCTCGGAGCGCCAGCCATTGTGCTGCCTGGAGGAGCCTTTCTTTACCCCACCGGACCGGGGGGAGGAGGGAGATCTGAGATGGAGGTGAATGGAGCAGCGGGAGGAGGGGGAGGGTAGCAAGCAGAACCGCGAAGGGGTTGCTGATCCATATGCAACGAAATACCCTTTCTGTCAAAATGTGCACAAACATGCACACTGGCTGGGTTCCGCGGAGGAGCAGTGGGAAATCTGAAAGTGGATCAGTGCAGGGCAGGTTTTAGGGACGGACATGGGGGACGACGAGGCACGGAATCAATTGATCTATGGGGCAAGTGATGGGAAGAAGGAGATGGAATGGGGCTTGTGTGGAGGTGCCCAGGCCCAGCGGGGTTAGTGTGGTGAGATCTCCACCGCTCCGCTCCACTCGGGTCTGCTCAGCAAAGCAGGGACTGAGCATTTGTACCGCAGCCCCGAGCTGCAGCCAGTGCATCATTGTGCTGCAGGGAGACGTTTACGCGTTTCCTACTGGGTCTCTGTTAAGCCCCGTGAGTGTCTTTTCTTTTCCAAATTACAACATCTATTGGGAGTGAAAATAAATGGAATAGATTGTAGGACAATCCAACTATAGTCCTGCGCTCTGTTCTGTGGTAAAGAGAGAAAGAAAAGGCGACCCTCCCATGGTTCCTTCTTTCTGCCATTTTCATGTATGTATTTATTTATTTTTAATCTTGGAAGTCTAAGGGTAATAAACTATCACTTGTATTAATCCTTCTTTAAGGAAAGGAGGGCTCCCAGATGAGCTATGAATGAGGACGGGGCAAGCTTGCCAGGATGGAAGATAAGGTTGTTTCAGACATTTTAACTGAAGGATGAAAGCACTCCGCGAAGAGGGGAGGGTGAAAGAAAGTGGGCTAAAGGAAGGAAGGCAGGGTCACCATCTAAGGACGTGCTGCCAGCCCCAATCCACAGAGCCCTCCTGGAGGCCATAGTGGGGCCAGTCAGCAGGCCTGACTCTCATCTCCTGTGCCACAGCCTGGGGTCTTTCCACAAATGCTGGGTTCAGTTTGGATGTTGAGTGACTTTAGTTTCCCAGCACTGGCTTTCACTTTAACTTCATCTCCAGATTGTCATTCATGCAGCACTTCTTGGCTCTTGGGTAATGAGTTGACAAAAAACAATCAGTCTATATTATGGACTGTTTCAAGTGAGCATATGTCTGAACCCTAGAGCTGTGATACTCATTTTGTCTTTTATAATTTTCTAGATGAATCCATTTTCTCTACAGTCTGCCCGGGCTGAGGATAGGTGCTTTCAGCACCTCTTCCTGTTGCCAACACTCAAAACTCAGTCTTAGTCCTAGATTCTAGTTGGATTGGCCTCTTGTTGCTGGTTAATCCTATAGACTGTGTCATTTCAAATCAGAAACCCCACTGGTGTCACCACCTGGTTCTCCCCTGTCATTCCCAGAGAAAAGTACAAATTTAAAGGCAGTGTAAATACCTGCAACACTATCTGATTAGCTTTCATGTCTCTGTAAAATGGGACCCACGATCCAGGAACCTTTGAACAAATGAATTGAAAAAAAAAGCCTTAGTAAAAAAGATGCTAAAATTCTTTCAGCATAGTTCTCTTGTTTGATAAGCATATTGAAGCATTGCACAGAGAATATCATGGCAGGGATAATTTTGCTTTTACCTGAAGCACTCCCACATCACATTTCTTTTTTTCTTTTTCTTTTCTTTTCTTTTTTTTTTTTGAGATGGAGTTTCGCTCTTGTTGCCCAGGCTGGAGTGCAATGGCGTGATCTCCGCTCACTGCAACCTCCGCCTCTTGGGCTCAAGCTGTTCTCCTGCCTCAGCCTCCCAAGTAGCTGGGATTACAGGCACCTGCCACCACGCCTGGCTAATTTTTTTTTTTTTTGTATTTTTAGTAGAGATGGGGTTTCACCGTGTTGGCCAGGCTGGTCTTGAACTCCTGACCTCAGGTGATCCACGCACCTCGGCCTCCCAAAGTGCTGGGATTTCAGGCATGAGTCACCATGCCCAGCCTCCGCATCACATTTCTATGTAAGTAAGCTATCCTGGTTTTCCTAGAATTGTTTTTTACTTTTTTTTTTTTTTTTTTAAAGATAGGGTCTCACTTTGTCACCCAGGCTGGCATACAGTGGTGTGATCATAGCTCACTATAGCCTCAAACTCATGGTCTCAACCAATCCTCCTGCCTCAACCTCTCCAGTTGCTGGGATTACAGGTGTGAGCCACCGTGCCCAGCTTTGCTTTTCCTAGAATGATTGATATTTATTGGATGCTTTCTATATTCCACACATTGTAGTTATCACTTCAAAGATGATCTCATTTAGTCCAAAAAGTAATCTTCAAGGCAAGCACTGTTTTAAACTCCATTTTATAGATGATGAAATTGAGGCATAGTGAGGCTGATAACTTGCCCAAAGTCTCCCAGTTAGGAGTGATAGGACCAGGACAGGAACCCGAAGCCTATGCTCTTAACCATCACAGAGTACTGCCTTAATCAACACAAATTCCTGGGCTATAAAACCTTTTGTACTCTCTACCTCATTCTGCCATCTTTTCTAATCTTACTTTTTTGTTGCTCAGGGATTCTTAATCTTTTTTGCACTATGAACTCCTTTGGTGGTATGGAGAAGTCTATGGGTTCCTTCTCAAAATAATGTTTTTAAATGCATAAAATAAAATACTTAGTCTTGTAAAGGAAACCAATTTCACTGAAATATAGTTACCTTCAAAGAGCCCGCAGGGGTCTATGTACTGAAGATGAAGAACCCCTGATGGGCAATTACTTGTGTTTGCTTTAGAGCTATGTTGTCCATTGCGGTAGCCACAGGCCACATTTGGCTGTTGAGCACTTGAAATGTGGCTAGTCCAAAGCGAGATGTACTGTAAATGGAAAATATACACTGGATTCCAAAGGACTTAGTATAAAAAAGAATAAAAACCACCTCATTAGTTTTTTTGTGGATTACATTTTGAAATGGTAACACTTTGGATATATTGGATTAAATAAACATATTATTTCAATCAATATGATTAAATTATTGATTTATTAAAATTAACTCCTAAATATGTTAACTCTGTGCCAACACCTTCCTTAAAACAAATGAGGAAATCAGGCCCAACGATGCTTGTCACTTAGCAAGCCACTGGCAGATCTGTTGGCTCTTGAGCCTGCCTTCTTTCCAAGATATGGTGCTACTTGTATTTATTTTTGTATTCAAAGGTCCTATCATGTTGCCTTTGCAAACAGTAAATGCTCTGAATATGTTTTAAAGCAGTGATAATCAACTTAATCCCAGCAAAATCCTGGTGCAAACTGGTAGTGTCCTTGTCTGGCATGTCCTTTGCTTTGCTTATTTAGAGTTTTAGTTTTGTAGGTAGAGATGGAGAATGGGCACTCCTGGGGCAAAATCCATGAATTTTGCTGTCTGTCTGGTTCTCCTCAGGAAGCGCCTCCAATTTGAGCACCTAACTATATCAATAACCCAATAGACCGAACAGAAAAGCTTGGTTGCCTTTCTGTTGAGCATGTAGGGAAGGGTATGATAGTCAGCAATGCTTGTGCTGCCTGAAATTGAAAATGGAAAACTGTATGTGGGAGACAGATAATTTTTTCAATGAGCACACATTGACTGACTGCCTAGCCACAGGGTAGGCAGTGTATATTTGGAGCCAGGGAAGATATCCAGAGGATTTCTGTGTCCTCGAGGAATTTAAGTTAAAATTGAATGGGGCCCAGATGTACACACAGATGGATAAATCACAGTTGGAAGCGGTGTATGAAGAGGGCCCGATGAGGGGTAGAGGTCCCACAGTTGGTGGGAACTGAAGGGAGGTCTGTGTGTGCAGCGTTTCAGGGTGCAGTGCTCAAGATGATTATGGAGTATGACTTTGGAGCACATGGGTAGTTGGGTCTGTTTCTTACAGGATACAGCATAATAGATCATTTAGTCTATTCCTCTGCTCCTAGGCATATGATCTATGTGTGGGAAAGCCTCAGGTGCTTGTCTGGGCACGGTGGCTCATGCCTGTAATGCCAGCACTTTGGGAGGCTGAGGCTGGTGGATCACCTGAGGTCAGGGGTTCGAGACCAGCCTGACCAACATGGTGAACCCATCTCTACTAATAATACAAAAATTAGCTCGGTGTGGTGGCACACGCCTGTGATCCCAGCTACTTGGGAGGCTGAGGCACGGGCATTGGTTGAACCCAGAGGTGTAGGCTGCAGTGAGCTGAGATCACACCACTGCACTCCAGTCTGGGCGACAGAGTGAAACTATGTCTCAAAAACAAAACAAAACAAAACAAAACAAAAACAATGCAGGCACTTATTGGAAAGTCTCTACTGATGTTGTATTAGTTCTTTTTTAAAATAAAAAATAGAGATGGGACCTCACTATGTTGCCCAGGCTGGTCTTGAACTCCTGAGTGAGCTCAAATGATCCTCACACCTCAGCCTCCCAAAGTGCTGGGATTACAGGCGTGAGCCACCACACCCAGCCAATGTTTTATCAGTTTCTATTATTTATTGATAAGGGTAGTAATATCTAGGTACATGAACCCTTATCCAAAACCCCTGGGGCCAGGCACTTGGAATTCAGATTATTTCAGATTTTGGAAGGTAGTAATAGGGTGTACATTCTGCATTTCATCCAGTGGGATCTGGGATAGCAATCTTTGTAATTAAAAAATTAATATTTCTGCAGCAAAACACACGAAATGGGATCAATTAAAGCCACAAGCAGTTTTATATTCATGTTGGTCATGTTTAGTTGCCAGATGAGTTTAGATCATGTCACATTTTGCTGCCAAAATGGAGGATTTTCAGCTTTCAGATCACGTAGTTAAGGATGTGGGTCTGTGGTAATAGTAACAGTAATAATAATACTACTACTAAAACACCAACAGAAAGTATTCAACAATATTGGCACTTATTATCTTCCAGGCACTGTTTTAAGCACTTACCTGTGTTTACTCCTTTAGTCTTCTAACAGCCCTTTGAGGTGGTTTCAGTATTATATCTAGAGAAGAATAAGAAGCACAGAGCAGTTAATCATTTGCCCGAGGTCACAGCTGGTAGGACAGAACAGAATGCAAACCTACATGATCTTGTCCAGGAGCTTCGTACTTAACCAGTACCTTGTTTTTGGGAGTAGGGAATGGGAAGCAGGTGTGTCTCTAAAGTTAACTCTATTATTTAGATCAGCCTGGTCTAAACTCACATTATGCTGTTCATTTCTTTTAGATAAACTCATCCTGAAAGTCGCTGTTGTTCTCCTGCTGAGCAAGAATGGAGGCCCCACTGGTGAGTCTGGATGAAGAGTTTGAGGACCTTCGACCCTGCTGCTCGGAGGACCCGGAGGAGAAACCCCGGTGTTTCTATGGTTCATCTCCCCACCATCTCGAGGACCCCTCCCTCTCTGAGCTTGAGAATTTTTCTTCCGAAATAATCAGCTTCAAGTCCATGGAGGACCTCGTGAATGAATTTGATGAGAAGCTCAATGTCTGCTTTCGGAACTACAACGCCAAGACCGAGAACCTAGCTCCCGTGAAGAACCAGTTACAGATCCAAGAGGAGGAGGAGACCCTTCAGGACGAGGAGTAAGAAGTCTTAATTGCCCTCTCCTGCTTCAGTCGAGAGCCCTGTAGTCCTTGGCTCCTTGACATAGTGCTAGTTTCTGTCTATAGGTTTATGGCCTATTACTTTCATTTTCGTGTTGTCAGCGGAGCAGTGCCCTGGTACTTGCTGTCATAGCTCTATAAATGTCCCTTTACAGTCCCCTGCGGAGAACTTTCTTAAATTGAAACCTTAGAGGAATGAGGGTTTTCCTAGATACAAAATGGAATGTCAGGAGCACAGTAAATTTCAGGGTCTATCTTGAGCTTTCTTTATATCAGTGGAAATCCAGCGAGATGTTAGAAATAAAGGCCAGAAAAAATTAATTAACCATGATGGATGAATCTATGTTATTGGACCAATTTGCTTCAAGAAACACCAGAATTTTGAAAATCCTGAATTTTTGACAGCCCCTCAGGCCTGGAGAGTTATCTACAGATGCTAGGATATGTCCACATAAGAAAGCATCTAAACTGAACTGAGAGCACAGGGGGCTACCCTGGACAAAGTAAAGGTGGAAACTAGGTGATGTGGCCTTTGAGTATGCAGATTCCTTATATCACTTGCTAGCTACTTCTAGGGTCTTAATAGGAGTCAAGAAAAGGGATCTGAGAAAAGTACTCTTTCAGAAGGGACTAGAAAGAGAAGGGGGTGATATGTTACACAAATTAAAGAAGGATGTTTTAGGCATTTAGTAAAGATTCAGTGGTTCCCCACTATCCTTGGGGGATGTGTGTCGTTTTTTTTTGAGATGGAGTTTCGTTCTGTCACCCAGGCTGGAGTGCAGTGGCATGATTTCTGCTCACTGCAACCTCCATCTCCCAGGTTCAAGCGATTCTCCTGCCTCAGCCTCCTGAGTAGCTGGAACTACAGGCATGCACCACCACACCCGACTAATTTTTGTATTTTTAGTAGAGATGGTGTTTCACCATGTTGGCCAGGCTGGTCTTGAACTCCTTACCTTGTGATCTGCCCGCCTTGGCCTCCCAAAGTGCTGGGATTATAGGCATGAGTCACCACGCCCGGCCCATGGTGGGGGATATGTTTTCAGACCCCCAATTAATGCCTGAAACTGCTGCTAGTACCAAACCCTAATGTTTTTTCCTGTATGTACGTACACATGATAAAGTTCAGTTTATAAATTAGGCACAGTAAGAGACTAACAACAGCTCACAGCAAAATAGAGCAATTATAACAATACATTGTAATAAAAATTATGTGAATGTGGTCTCTCTTTCTCTCTCTCTTTCAAAATATTTCATTGTACTATACAGCAGATAACCGAGCCCTGGGAAAGCAAAACTGCAGAGAAGGGGGGACTACTGTCTACATGAGTTCCCTGCAGAGATACAATATGCATCCATTGTTCTTTAGCTAGCACACAAGAAATGTCAAAGGTCAGGGAAGTCTGAAGCACCTGTGCTTTTGTTTCCCTTTTTGTGGATTTGAGTGGGAAGAATGGCCCACAAATCCTGGGGTAAGAGGCATGTCCTAGAGGATTGGAACCTGACTCTATTTGGGAAAGGGTTGCTTATTTGATGACTGCTGTAAGACTCTACCTCTACACATAGAGGGAACGAATATCTGTCTTATTCACTCTTACAGCCCCACTGTCTCATACAGTGCTCGGTTTGTAGTAAATGAGCAAATAATATTTTTGAATGAAATATTGAATTTGAATAAACTAGATGAGTGATAATAGCTAGTAGCCTTGTATGTACATGTAATGTATTTCTAAGCCCACACCATTTCCTTCTTTTCTTTTTAATTAATGCTGGCCGGAAGGTATGATCACAGAGAGCATTTCATTTTGCTGACCAGTACTATAACTGTGGGCTATGTGTTTAAATTTTAAGTTTCAAACAGATTCTTTTTAGATTCTGAGCCTGTTATCTGCTCGACATCTATAAGTCAAAAAAGAATGGCTCTGGGGCTTTATTATGCAGAACATTTTTTCATTCGAGTGCACCAGCCAACGAACTGGAAACACAAAGACTATGAATTCTAATTTTGGTACTCTTTCTAACTCACTGTGTGACCTTGGCCAAGTCACCTAACCCTGGTTGACTGTGTAGGTCCTTATCTCTGAAACCTCCAGAGCTCAATCTTGATGAAGTGAGGCTAAGGACTTGTAAAGAACCTAATTTCTTACCTCACCCAGGATGTGCTCTGAAAATGACATTTCAAGATGCGTCCCATTCCTTTTGCTTCCAACAAATCATTTCCTCCTTATCAAAACACCTCCTCTGCCTCATTAAGGATGAAGGCCCAATGAGCAGATTCTTACTGTCTTCTAGCACATTAGAAGAGGCCACTCAATGTTAATTACCATCACATGGGATTATTGGCCTTCTCAGCCTGATTTTTCTGACTTGACTGCCTCATTGACTGCCTCGGTTAAGAGACCAAAGGTTGAATAATTCCTTCGCGATAAAGTATAATTTGGGGACAGTGTAGAGGGAGGAAGCTGGGAAGAGAAAAATTAATACAGCACTTTCCAGGCATTCAGTTCTAACCCCTCTTTACAATTTAAAATAAAAATCAGAATTCTGTTACACACTTTGTTTCATAGACACTATCCAAATATTTCAACTTTGAAATTATGGCTAAGTAAAGGAAAAGGATGATTTAATATCTCACCTGACTACACTTCTGAACAAAGCTCTAATGTTATTGTCATAAACTTGTTCAGGTCTAATATTTAGAGGGCTGTTTCATCCACAAATGAGTTAAAAGTGCTATGGATGGGGTTAGAAGTAAATAATAGAAGCTTAAAACAAAAGCAGGGAAATACTTGGTTAAACTGCCTCCTTAAAGACAGCACAAATCATAGAACAAATGTAGTGACTCCCTTAGAAGCTTTCTTTTCTTTAGTCTTCATTTGGAACTATTTAACCAAGAGGAGAGTTGGCTAAGATTTGTCAACTTATCTCTGATTTGTCAGGGCATGGAAGTTCTAGGCATTAAAGGAGAGTCAGATTTGAATACATATTTTTTGGTTTTGAAATCAGGAAACATCCCAGAATCTCTTCTTTGTGTATATGTGATCACCCTCTTCCTTTGCCATAAGAGATTGGGGCTGGAGGTCAGAGCCTCTTAGGGGCCACTACAGAATGGAAATGGATGGCTCTCAGCTTACCTCTTACGTCACTGGGGATCCCTGTCAGCCCTCTTACAAGTACCCTTAAGACAGAGCGGCTAACCATGCAATGGCTGTTTCCTGTTCTTCAGACAGAATTGTTAAAGGTGATGTTAAAAAGAAAGTGCAGACAATAAACTGCCTGTCATCAGATATACTACATGTTGAAGACAAGTCAATACCAAATAGTGAGCTAGGGAAAGTTACACATAACTGATTTTTTAGAAAATTTAATTCTCTTTTTAGAGGTTCAGTTACCCCTTATAGAAAGCAGATATAGTATTGATTCTATTTAAGCATTTGAAGACATCTAGAAAGTTGAGCAAAGGCATTAATGTGCTGCTAATAATTTCTACTTTCTTTTTTTTTTTTTTTTTTGAGACGGAGTTTCACTCTGTCGCCCAGGCTGGAGTGCAGTGGCACGATGTTGGCTCACTGAAACCTCCGCCTCCTGGTTTCAAGCAATTCTCCTGCCTCAGCCTCCTGAGTAACTGGGACTACAGGTGCACACCGCCACGCCGGACTAATTTTTTTTTGTGTGTATTTTAGTAGAGATGGGGTTTCACCATGTTGTCCAAGCTGATCTCGAACTCCTGAGCTCAGGCAATCTGCCCGCCTCAGCCTCCCAAAGTGCTAGGATTACAGATGTGAGCCATCGCGCCCGGCCACAATTTATACTTTCTAAACATAAAGTATAAAAGTGTACTCAAATTAATACACATGTGGGTGTGGGTATTGGCATGACTGGACACCAGCAAAACACTAGACAAGGGAAGTAGCCAGGCTTGAGGGAAATGTCAGTAAGTTAGAATTCTAATAAGCCCTTTAAGCTGCCTGCCATACTGTCAGAAATAGGTGTATAAGGGTTTGTGTGTGTGTCAGGACTGATAGAACCCTGATGGCTGTGTTGCCAGTTCTAGGCCCTGGAGCTATTTGTACACGTGTCCTGGCACCCCCCAGTCTCCACCCTCCTCCACTGGGTTTGCTCATACTCTGCCAGCAGCCTTTCCCAAAGCCCCTGCTCTCTGTGGTGAAAGATACTTAGGTCCATTCTGTAGGCACCTAAGCCCAAGCTATAAAATATGCATCTGAAAAAGCCTTTTCTGTTATATAGGGATGGAGAGAGCAAATTGAATCTCAGGTGTCATGGAAGCATAATGATAGGAACTGAGGCAACCTGTTTGATCTTGTTCTCTGATGAATGATAGAGGAGATAGCTTTCAAAGTCTTCTTTCCCCAAGGTAAGAGTAAATAGCAGGATGCTTCTCAGGGAAGTAAAACTTTACAGTCCACCTCCAGGTACTCAAAAAAGGGGCGATGCACACTCCCAAGAACCCTGCTAATAATGGGATATATGATGGGATAGACAGCCCTTCCCGTCCTCTTCCTCACAGAAAGCTGTTTCCCCCGCCCTGTCTGCGTCGGCTCCTCTGTCGCTGAGGCTGCTGGCTGCCAGCGTTCTGCTTCTGCCTTCCTTGTGCCCTTCCCTGCGCTGGAGATTTACACAGAAAGTGGCCATGCACCCCTGCTACCTTTGTCATTCCTCCTTCTGTAGATCCATGAAAGCACAATGTTCAGGATCATTGTAGGTATGGGTTTTTCACACAGAGCCAGTTTCTTTTTTCTTTTCTTTTCTTTTCTTTCTTTTCTTTTTTTTTTGAGATGGAGTTTCACTCTTGTCGCCCAGACTGAAGTGCAATGGCGCGATCTTGGCTCACTGCAACCTCTGCCTCCTGGGTTCAAGCGATTTTCCTGCCTCAGCCTCACAAGTAGCTGAGATTACAGGTGTGCACCACCACACCCAGCTAATTTTCACGCAGAGCCAGTTTCTAAACTGCTCTCCTAGGTTATGATTAGGAACTTGGTATATTATTCTGATGCCCATGCCGATGCCAATTATATAATTCATAAAGAGTTGGAATTGTTAAGTGGTTAGGAATATGGGCTCTGTAGCCTTGCTGCCTGAGTTCAAATCCCACTTGTACCATTACTGGCAGTGTGAGCTGAGACAAGTGAATTAACTTTACTATGTTTCAACTTTTTTCTCATTAGCATCTGCCTTGTATAAGTGTTGTGAAGAATGAATGAATTAATCCATGCTTAGAATCCAGTTTAGAATAGTACCTGGCTCATAGTAAGTGCCCAGCAAGTGTTGACAGATATTGTTATTGTTAAATGGACACTGGATAAGTATGGAAAGGGTATGCAAGTGATTACAAAGAGATGAAAGCTGCTTTATCTTAAAGCTTGTTTATAAACTTCAAAGGATAAAAAGTATGTCAGCAAGGAAAAAGGAAACCTGGACAAAATATGAAAGAGAATGAGGATGGCTTGAAATCCTGAGAAGATAAAAGTTTAGGGAATTGTCACTAAAAATCTAGAATCAGAAGATAAAATTCAAAGCTTATCAGCAAAGGCTCAGATGAGAAAAGCAGGCACTCTAAGTGATCCCGAGAGAGCTCCTGCTTATCACTTTAAGGATGTAAATAGTCTCAAGGTCATTGGAAAGTGTGTAGTTCGTTAAAGTTCTCAGCTTCCCTCCAGCCCGGGAGAGATACAAAAGGCTCCTGCCTATTTTGGGCTTTGCTGAATTTCATTTCTGCAGGCGCTTCCTGCAGGGACGAATCTGAAGGTCAGTGCCTGTATGCATGTTCAATCTCGCAGCAGAGAATGTAATGCAGTGATGTAAAGAGCAGTCCTACAGTGACCTTTCCAGCGGGTGTGGTGCCTTGGAGTTTTGTCTTGGAGAAAGCAAATCCTATTTGCTTCTTGGCTCTAGAATGCTTGGATTTAGAATTAGCCTGGATTAATGCAGCTCTAATAGTGCCTGATGGAGATTAGGATATCACCCATGGTTTAAGAAGTCTGCTCTGGAATCCTGCTGAGTAGATGGCTAATGAGTACTTGATGAGTTCTCTTCAAAGTGTTTTCTTGTAATGGTAGGAAAATAATGAATAAGCAGATGCCCCAAGCACTGCCATTAAATTGTGTTTTCTTGGGTTCCTTTTATTTGTTCCATCACCAATTATATGCATTGTGCACTAAGAAAGTCTTTTTGCTTATACACCCATATATCATGCTGCATTCCTGACATAAACAAAATCAGGAATGTGATGTGATATATGGGCATTTTGTTTAGTTAATAGTGCCCTCGTTACTTTCTCATTTCAAGTGTCTGTGCGCTTGTATATATATAAACACACTTGCTTGTTTTTAAAATCTTGTTCTCACAGGTATAATTTGTGTTTGACATGCATAGGCACCTGAAGGAGATTGCAGCATAGAGCCCTAATTTATCATTATCTAATATTTTAGTTTTCATTTTTTGTTTGTTTGTTTGTTTTTGTTTTGTTTTTTGAAACAGTGTCTTGCTCTGTCACCCAGGCTAGAGAGCAGTGACACAATCATGGCTCACTGCAGCCTCGACTTCCTAAGGTTCTTCCCATGCACCAGGCTATCCTCCCACTTCAAGCCTCTCGAGTAGCTGGGACTACAGGCCCATGCCACCACTCCCAGTTAATTTTTGTATTTTTTGTAGAGACAGGGTTTCACCATGTTGGCCAGTCTCGTCTTAAACTCCTGGAGTCAAGTGATCTGCCCATCTTCGCCTTCCAAAGTGCTGGGATTCAGGCGTAAGCCATCGCGCCTGGCCTCATTAATATTAATTCAGGTGCCATTGGCTTCCATGGCAGTCATTATCTTAAGGGCTTTGTTTACTGATTTACATTAATCACTTGGTGTTGAATAATTCATGTATCTTCCTGATGTGTGAGTGTTTGTGACTCTGAAATTTTCCCCAACCTCCCTCCTTTTTTTCCCTAAGAAATCTTTCTGAAATAAGAAATAAGAATTGTAGAAATTCTTTCTTATAACGTACATATCAGAATTTTAAAAAGAAATGTAATAAATGTAGCCCCATCTTTCCCCACTAAAAATACACTTCTGTAGACAGAAGTGTATTTATTGGTTTCTTTTATACACAGTATTTACCTTAGAGTGTCCGTGATGTTGGAATGACACAATGCAGGATTTAGATTCGACATTGCTAGAGGGCAGGATCTTGCAACCCGTGGGTTTGACAGAACATTTTGGGTAGCAAGTAAGCACTCATAGCATTGGCATTATTCCCTTACCTACATTAGATGTCAAGGAGGGAATTCCTGATCATTTAGATTGCAGACCTCTGAAACTGAAATGGTTGTAAACTAGATAATGATTCTGATCTTAATGAGATTCAGCCAGAAAAACTGCCCAAATCTCTCTGTCTCTATGTTCCTCTCTCTTTCTCCCTTTCTCTCTCTCTCTCTCTCTCTCTGCCCATAGGAAAAGAAACATGGGCATCTCTTAGATTCAGAAACATGAGCTATTTGGATGAGGGGCAGATTCATTTTCAGAGCCAGAGGCAGTTTGATTATAGACGCTACCATTTGTATCTCAATGGTAGGAAATTCCTCTTCCCGCAAGCAAACACCTTTCACACTGAAGCCCCTGGCCAGGCTCCATGGACTTTCTCCCCTGGATGTGCCTCTGATTCAGTTTTTAAGCTGCTTTGCCCCTGCATGCTGGAAGGCAGATGATCTCAGCCTGGCACACACAGAAGCCTCTCTCCTCTCCCAGCCCAGCTCTTCCTTCCTCCAGGCGGGGCCAGGCCACAGATGTGTGTTAATGAGAGCTTCTCTTTGTTTACAGGGTCTGGGATGCTCTGACAGACAATTACATCCCTTCACTGTCAGAAGACTGGAGGGATCCAAACATCGAGGCTCTGAATGGCAACTGCTCTGACACTGAGGTACCTCTCTGGGGCCCCTGGTTTAACAGGGCTTGAGAAGATGTGGAATTCAGTTAGAAAAACATTCAGTAACTCAACAGTCTTCCTCACTGTGTAATAAAGCTCAAAATTGTTGATGGAGGCTCATGCCTGTAATCTCAGCACTGTGGGAGACCGAGGTGGGTGATTGCTTGAGTTCAGTAGTTTAAGACCAGCCTGGGCCACATGGTGAAACCCCATCTCTACCAAAAATATAAAAAATTAGCCAGGCATGGTGGCGCTTGCCTGTGGTCCCAGCTACTCAGGAGACTGAGGTGGGAGGATTGCTTGAGCCTAGGAGGTGGAGGTTGTAGTGAGCCAAGATCACGCCACTGCACTCCAACCTGGATGACACAGTGAGACCCCATCTCAATTAAAAAAAAAATTGTTGGGAAGGTAGGAGTTGTGGAGGAGGGTGAAAAATAAGATAAGGAAGACATCCAATATAGCTGAAGTGATAGGAATGGTTATCTATAGAAAAGCATAAACACAGATCACTTCCATTAGGTCGGTGCAAAAGTAATTGTGGTTTTTGCCTTTCCTTTCCTTTCCTTTTTTTTTTTTTTTTTTTGAGATGGAGTCTTGCTCTGTTTCCCAGGCTGGAGTGCAGTGGTGTGATCTCGGCTCACTGTAACCTTCGCCTCCCGGGTTCAAGGGAGTTTCCTGCCTCAGCCTCCTGAGTAGCTGGGACTATAGGTGCATGCCACCATGCTTGGCTAATTTTTTGTATTTTTAGTAGAGACTGGGTTTCACTGTGTTAGCCAGGATGGTCTCGATCTCCTTACCTCGTGATCTGCCTGCCTTGGCCTCCCAAAGTGCTGGGATTACAGGTGTGAGCCACCATGCCTGGCCTGCCATTACTTTCAATACTTCTAACCTGTGTACTACAACATGAAGAATAAAGTGGCCTGACATAAGAGGAGAAAACTGTCATGGGCTTCTCTTGGGTTCAAACAATGATGGTTTTAAAAAATTAGATCTTCTCATCTTAAATGAACAGTTCAGGCCCACCAAAAACAGTGCTGAGAATAAGTGCTGATGGATCTTGCACTTGACAATGGCCAGAGGTAGGGCCCAGATATTAGCAATGTGGCCACACGATGGGGAAAAAGTCTCTCTTTTTTTTCAGACAGGGTCTCACTCTGTCGCCTAGGCTGGAGTGCAGTGGCACATCTCGGCTCACTACGGCCTTGAGCTCCTGGGTTCAAGTGATCCTCCAGCCTTACCCCCACCCCCTCCTTGAGTAGCTGGGACTGCAGGCATATGCCACCATGCCTAGCTAATTTTTGTATTTTTTGTAGAGATGGTGCTTTGCCATGTTACCAAGGCTGGTTTCAAACTCATGAGCTCAAGCAATCCACCCAACTCAGACTCCCAAAATGTTGGGATTACGGGCGTGAGCCACCATGCTGGCCTAGAATTCTTCATGAAACTCAACCAAGGGGACGTTTATGTGTCTGGACCAGAGTCACACTCCATGAGTTACTGACTGCAAGGAAGAAAGTAGCCTAGGGGCTTCTGAAGAATAAAGATGATATTTATTTTGAGTTGATTTGCAAAGGCCATAAAGGGGGTGGCCTTTCAGAAGATCCAAATTGCCCCTCCCATCTGAATCTACATATGGAATGGTTTCTTGGTCAGTTTGGGCTAGACTAAGTAATTTATAAGCAACGGAAGTTGATTTTCACAGCTCTGGTGGCAGGGAAGTCCAAAATCAAGTCACTGGCAGATTCAGTATCTGGTGAGGACCTGCTTTCTGGTTCACAGACGGCACCTTCTCACTGTGTCTCCTCATGGTAGACGGGTCTAAAGTGCTCCCTTGGGCCTCTTTGAGAAAGGTACTTGTGGGCATCCCACCTCCATGGTCTCATCATCTCCACAAGGTCTCACTGTCTAATACCATCACTTTGGGCGTTAGGATTTCAGCGTATGAATTTGAGGGGCGGGACATAAACATTCAGAGCACAGCAAAAGGTAAAAATCATTTAATGGCTCTATGTTAAAAGCCAATTTCTGCCTCACTTGGTTTTCTAGTTTCAGCTGTGAAGGAAATTTTGACAATTTATCGTCAGGAAGGGCTGTCACAGCCCTGCGGGCTCAGCAAGTGATAGAGTTGGATGGATCTAATCTTTCTAAGTGTTTCAGAATTGAGTCCAAGTAAAAGAGCAAGAAACAGATTCCCCTTACGCTGCAATATATTTGTAGATTATTGCTCAAAATAGCACAGCAAAGAGATCAGCAGTTGACCGATTTGTTGAAAATGTAGCTGTGTATATCCTTCTCCATTTTTCTAGTAATTAGCAATCTAAGGTACTCAAAACCTGAAGGCTTCATTGACGGCAGCAGGTAAGATGGTGACTTTGAAACCAAGATTTCCTGCAAGCCTCCTCAGCACAGACATAGGAGGCCGTGTCTCAGGTCCTGTTTTGAAATCTCGGCTGTGCATTTTCTCTTGTAATGCTTACAGGTATAGTGCTTAGGACTTACGCAAACTGCAAAGGAGATGGAGGCAATAATGGAATAAATCTAGTTACTGAAATTAGATCAGGTCCCCTAGAATTCTTCATGAAACTCAACCAAGGGGACGTTTATGTGTCTGGACCAGAGTCACACTCCATGAGTTACTGACTGCAAGGAAGAAAGTAGCCTAGGGGCTTCTGAAGAATAAAGATGATATTTATTTTGAGTTGATTTGCAAAGGCCATAAAGGGGGTGGCCTTTCAGAAGATCCAAATTGCCCCTCCCATCTGAATCTACATATGGAATGGTTTCTTGGTCAGTTTGGGCTAGACTAAGTAATTTATAAGCAACGGAAGTTGATTTTCACAGCTCTGGTGGCAGGGAAGTCCAAAATCAAGTCACTGGCAGATTCAGTATCTGGTGAGGACCTGCTTTCTGGTTCACAGACGGCACCTTCTCACTGTGTCTCCTCATGGTAGACGGGTCTAAAGTGCTCCCTTGGGCCTCTTTGAGAAAGGTACTTGTGGGCATCCCACCTCCATGGTCTCATCATCTCCACAAGGTCTCACTGTCTAATACCATCACTTTGGGCGTTAGGATTTCAGCGTATGAATTTGAGGGGCGGGACATAAACATTCAGAGCACAGCAAAAGGTAAAAATCATTTAATGGCTCTATGTTAAAAGCCAATTTCTGCCTCACTTGGTTTTCTAGTTTCAGCTGTGAAGGAAATTTTGACAATTTATCGTCAGGAAGGGCTGTCACAGCCCTGCGGGCTCAGCAAGTGATAGAGTTGGATGGATCTAATCTTTCTAAGTGTTTCAGAATTGAGTCCAAGTAAAAGAGCAAGAAACAGATTCCCCTTACGCTGCAATATATTTGTAGATTATTGCTCAAAATAGCACAGCAAAGAGATCAGCAGTTGACCGATTTGTTGAAAATGTAGCTGTGTATATCCTTCTCCATTTTTCTAGTAATTAGCAATCTAAGGTACTCAAAACCTGAAGGCTTCATTGACGGCAGCAGGTAAGATGGTGACTTTGAAACCAAGATTTCCTGCAAGCCTCCTCAGCACAGACATAGGAGGCCGTGTCTCAGGTCCTGTTTTGAAATCTCGGCTGTGCATTTTCTCTTGTAATGCTTACAGGTATAGTGCTTAGGACTTACGCAAACTGCAAAGGAGATGGAGGCAATAATGGAATAAATCTAGTTACTGAAATTAGATCAGGTCCATCATAGTACGAAAGGCAGATTTTGCTTTGTTATCTCTTTTGACACCTTTCCAACTCATTTTGTGGATTAAGCCAAAGGATATGTAAGATAGTCTGCCCTTCAAAAGGGCTTTAATTTATCCTGATTTCCAGATTTCCCTCAAGAGGGTTAATATTTCCGGGCAAACTGAATGACCCTGAGAAGGATGAGCTTGAGCTCTGTTCCTTGTAGTATTTCTTCTATCTAACCCATGGGAAAAGGACAGGGTAGCAAAAGTAGATGGATTAAGGCTGTTTTATTTCATCCTCTTTTATTATCTGGATTAATTACAGTAGGAGCTCTATTAACTGTCCTAAGTTTAAACGATTTACCAGATTAACCAGTGCTCTGTAGTCCTTCTGTAAAACATACGACCAAAAGCACTTGGCATGCTGACTATGCACAGCTGTGAGGTTTCTCTCTCGTCAGCCCTCATACATCCACTTAAGTGGTCCATTTTTTAAATACATTTTTTATTTTTTTGAGACGGCGTCTCACTCTGTTCCCCAGGCTACAGTGCAATGGTGTGATCCCATTGGCTCACTGCACCCTCCGCCTCCCAGGTTCAAGCAATTCTCCCGCCTCAGTTTCCTGAGTAGCTGGGATTACAGGCACCTGCCATCATGCTTAGCCAGTTTTTGTATTTTTGTAGAGATGGAGTTTCACTATGTTGCCCAGGCTGGTCTTGAACTCCCGACCTCAGGTGATCCACCTGCCTTGGCCTCCCCAAGTGCTGGGATTATAGGTGTGAGCCACTGCACCTGACCAAGTGGTCCATTTTTGAGAATCAGTTGTTCCCAAACCTGTTTGTGCTGTCCTTGTGATTGCACTCAGAAATTTAATTAAATATTGTACCAACTAATGAATTACGACTGCAAAGAGAGTCATTTTTTGTTAAAATCAAAGTAACACATCTACATAGTTTAAAAAGTTAATTAATGCTTTGAAAGTAATGCACTGTAAGTACAAGACAAAACAACCCCCCAAAACAGTAGACCCCTGCCTTCTTGCCTTTCCCTGCTCCTAGAGGCAACTGCTTGCACTTCTTTTAGCTGCCTTTTTTTTTTTTCTTTTTGCATATAGCTCCAGTTTTATAGTGGGGCCATGTGGGGCCATGTGGGGCCACATGGGGAAGCTCCAGTGTTCTCTGGAGGCAGAAGTAGCCAGGGGAGAGCCAGGCCAGTGCCTCAGGAATGGCAAGACGGGGTAAACAGTTTAGGACTGGCTAGTTTGAGTAATTTCTGCAAGCTGTAAACACTAGGGATGGTCCTT